TTTACCCTGTTGGTCTCCTAACATGTTTATCCTTGTAATAGGAGAATGAAATGTGATTGTTGTTAATGGATGCTGCTGATGGTGGGCGTGAAGGTGTATCTGTGTGTTTGAATGAATGAAAGAGATGCACATGATGTACAAAACAAACAGGATTACGGAATTTACCTGAGGTCAGCCAGCTGATATTTGATAATTGTTTCAATAATATTGTTATGCATCTTATCCAGCAGTAATAGGATAAACATTATCCTTGTAATTCAATCCTTGTAATTACATATTTAAATCGGCTACAGTTAAGTATTTTGTGTCCAATGGTCCCTGGCATAAATATTTTTGACTTTTAATATAACAATACTTCTAGAGAAAGGTGACAAAGTGCTCCAAAATCCAAAAACAATGGTAATCACTGGTTTACAGTTGTGTATAATAAATGTATATCTGTATCTGGATTATGTAGAATCTTAGTCCGCAAAGTAACTTATTTATACACAGGTACAAAAATAGGGAAGCAAGAAGTACAACATTTCATTATGAAAGTGAAGAAGTTTGAAGTAGCCTAGTTTGTATGGTCATTTGCTTTGAGGTCATCTAACGAACAGTTAGTTTCAAAACAACACAAAAATATTTGGAGAACTCTTCAAACTGCTACTGACACGTAGCATAATCACATGTGAATCTTTACCAAATGTTACCAAATACACACAGTAACAAATCAAACCACAACATCAGCGTCTTGTTCTCATGTCACACATTTTCTGTGGGCTTTGTGGTCATAGTGTCAGGCCTTTTTAATTCTACGCAGGCAGTACGTGAACTTTTGAAAACCCACAGGAGAGACATTTCTCATGATGTCGAAGAGAGTAAAAGACTCTTTAAATGCAGCACATGACACAGTTGTAAGTATGACAACTATACTGGGTCCCTTTGACCTATGTTACGACCCTGGGTCGTTAGGTCATGTGTGTGGACATTTTTCCCTCCTGTGTGTGTGTGTGTGTGAGCTACAGGTGGTGCCCGTGAAGCTGATTAGCTACCTTCAACCCGCTGATTGGTCCACCTGAGGAAGAGGGGAACACTTAAGCTTTTTCTCATTTGATAGGTAAGATTTTGTGTTAAAAGCTTTCTTTGTTTTGTGGTTTTGCTACTCCGGTGTGTAAATATTTTGGGTAAATAAATTTACCAAACGCTTTATCTGTTTTGGCGTCCGTGTTCTTGGGAGTGGGAAAAGTGGGGAGAGTGCATTTTATGCTGCGCCTAGGTTCCCCTAGGTCTGGGCGTAACACCTATTGTAGAGATAAGTAACGTGAATCTGTTCTGCTTAAACTTGGTAAAGGAACAAATGGAAGGGAATTTACATACATGATCTAAACATCTGTACTACACGAGCCTTCAGCTTAGTGTACATCTTTGTTCTACTCATAATACTCTTGGATCAGTTATTCTAAAAGGAAGGTTATACTAAGGGATGAGAGAAGCAGCAAATAGATATGATATGACAATAAGGGGAGAAATCTGTCTTTATGGCACAATGCCAGAGTTCAACCAGTGATTGAATTGCGGATTATTAAACTTTGAGAACTTTAAGGTTAACAAACCCAGGATTTTATGAAGCAATTAGGTGATGTATTTTGCCTGACTGAGGATGACTTGTCCTCCTTGACCTTTGACCCACAATGAGACTTCACTTGTGTAAGTCTTTCTTCTAAAACTGTATATATGTTTTGGAGCAGAACATTTAATTTTACTTTTAGCCACAAACTATTTTTAAAATCAAACCATAGAAAAAGGTTGGGGTTTAGATAGATGGAGCTGCAACAAGTGTCTGAACAATTTACTCATCATTTAAAATGAACTAACAAGTACAAGACATCTGTCGGAAATGTTCATTACTTTTCAGTTTGATTTAATAACACAGACCTCACACCTCCATGATTTGCCTTCATTTCTAATTTCCATATTTGTTTTGAAGTTTAGGTGAATAAATAATGTTTGCTTGTAACGTCATATGGTGTGGACTCAGTTCTGGTCATTTTTTATTGGACCAGTTTGTGAAATTATGAGGAGATAACAAAGTATACAAAGGAGAAAGCCAGAAATAAATAAAAAAACAGGAAAGAAAAGTCAGTGGTGTTTATGTCTCCAAAGTTTGTTTTGTTAGACTTTAAGGGGACCTATTATGCAAAATCTACTTGTTCATGTATTTTATACATCAACATGTGTCCCCTCTGTGTAAAGAGATTCTGAAAGTTTCAGGAAAAAAAGATTCTCTCTCTTTTTGTCCTGATCCATTTATATAAAAACCTGTCTGAAAATGAGCTGATCAGATTTTGGCCACTTTGTCATAACGATGTTTTGGCTTGTGTAACCATTAGCCAATCTAGTTACAATTACATTTGAAATAGTAAAAATACCTATTTCTGATATCAAGAATTACATTTCAACTAGTCAAAATGCCAATTGTTGATATCAGAAATACAATTTGAACTAGTTGAAAATCCTTTTTTTTATATCAGGAATTAAATTGTAACTAGTTATAAATAAAAATTGAATTAGAACTAGTAACAATTGAATTCCTGATATCAAAAAAGGATTTTGAACTAGTTCAACTTGTGTTTCTGATATCAACAATTGAATTACTGATATCAGAAATTGGCATTTGAACTAGTTCAAATTCCAACTCCTATTGAAATGAAGGAGAAAAACTATGCGAATCTCACTAGTTAAAATAAAATTTCTGATATCAAGAATACACATTACAATTAGTTACAATTGAATTTCTGATGTCAAGAATCCGCATTCTAACTAGTTAAAATTAAATTTTTGATATCAGAAATAAGCATTATTACTAGTAAGAATTGCATTTTTTATATCAAGAATTTGCATTCTTACTACTAAGAATAGATTTTTTGATCTCCTCCAGAAATGAATAAAAGCTAAATCGGCTTGCCATAAAAAAAAACAGTATAATAGGGGACCTTTAAGTCATCATTTCAAACTATCTGAATTAATGTGAAGCAACGATTCACTTAAACAACCGATAACTTAAACCCCAAGTTTGCTGGGGTCTTATGAAATAACTCACGATCCAGGTAGTAGTATTATTTATATTGTCCACACTTTATATATTATAAGTAGCCTACACAACATCACAAATCCTATTTGCTAAGGAAAACTGAAAACATAGAAGAAAAAAAAATTAGAATATACTTTTTCATAATAAAACGTGAATAAGGTAGTCTGTGTGGAATGTTCACTTTAAAGTAACGCAAGCACAATATTAGCATAATTGTGTTTCTCCATGGAAAAAAAATTGATGTGGGTGTGTGAGGCGTTGCTTTCTACAGGATAACGCAACAGCCCCTCAATGTCTGCGCATGGCCCTGCCCTGTGTGCCATTTTATTGAAACTCCGTCTGCATTTCGACATGCAATCCTAAACGTCTTTCCCAAAACGGTGACAGTCTTAAATTAACGTGACACTTACAGTTCAGACTTTGATCGATTATTTGCTATAAAGCTCAGACCAGATGACCGGGGGAGTCTCACACTGACAGCCAGCAGCACTGAGAAACACGGGCAGGTCAACGCTGAACTTTATTTATCTGAAGCTCTTTCGTCCCGGGATAGAGTACCCTACAATAAAAACACGTGAGGAGGGGAGAGAGATAGAGATAGAGAGAGAGGGAGAGGAGGAAGAGGAGGAAGCGTTGGACAGGCGCGCTTGTGATCACCACCTCTGTCAAAAATAGACTGGCGGACTGAGGGGTTGCGAGAGAAACGGTATGTCAGCGCCTGCTTCAATCTATCTCTATTAAACTCTACTTTGATATACCTACTGTTCTTTTCATAATCCTAGAATATAATACCTTAGTAGCCTATAATAAAATTTGATGACACAGTTTACAATGGACAGCAGACTGAGCTTTGGATCCTGAGGGTGCTCTTATATAGAGGGTTATAATATAAATGGTTGTGATTGGGACGTAACATCTTCTCACAGGACCCAGCCATGGATAAGAAGGACGAAGCGGAAATGATGGACGAACACCAACAAAATGGGGATTTAAGGTATATTTCAATAATTATTTCTCAAAGCCTAGAGTGATGGTTTAAAAACATATATCAACAGGTGTCTCAATTGTTATATAGAGGAAATATAAACTTTATATTCAGGCATCATGCTTTTTGAATCCTCCAGTAAAAGCAAGAAGAAAGGAAAGAAGAAAGAGAAAGAACCAAAGTTGCCCATGGTTGGCGCCATTGGTGTGGTGAGTTCAGGATGTAATCTCTCCTTCTCATAACCAGCTGTTTATGCAATGTGCCTACATTTTAAACTGATCAAATGAAAATCATTTGATAATTAATGTGTAAACCAAGCCAATGAAAGCCATTTCTTTGTTATATTGCTTTAGATGCAAAAACAACTGACAAATATGTATTGATTTTTGTATGTTTCTGAGATTCTGAGATTAATGGGTAAAGATCGACTGTGTGTGTGTGTGTGTGTGTGTGTGTGTGTGTGTGTGTGTGTGTGTGTGTGTGTGTGTGTGTGTGTGTGTGTGTGTGTGTGTGTGGAGAGATGGGAGTGTGGCACATCCTCATGTTGTTTGGGTTTGACTCCCGGTGTCCCCTGCTGTGAGAATATAATAGCTGCATAGAGTTTAAAGTATTTCCCTTGTTCTGATTGCATTGATCACATTTGTTATTAAAATATCAAGCAAGTTACCAGGAGAATTCACAACATTCAATCATATACTGACTGACATCTGCTTTGGTCTTTCCACACTCTGTCTTTTATGTGAGTGTAGTTTAGGTTTGCAAGCGGCGTGGACATTCTGTTGATCCTGACTGGGACGCTCTGTGCTATGGTTCACGGTGTCATTCTTCCTCTCATGTGTATTGTGTTCGGGGACATGACAGACAGCTTTATAAATGACTCTGCGATGAGCAGCATCTCCAGTGAGTTTTCAGTTAGACATAGGAGTCATAATTACCTGAAATAGGTTATTAGGTTGTCAATAACACATCATAATAATGTATTTTCTTACCTTGTGTCTTCAGATGCCACAGCACCAAGAAACAGCACATTACAAGCAGAAATGAAGGGGTAAGACTTTATATAAAGCATAAACAGAGCAGGCTGTTGGGTGAAAATATCTCCAAAATGTTGAATTTATTGTTGTTAATGGTTTTTATATTTGTATAAAGTTTAGGTGGAGGTCGAGGAAATTGCAGTGGTTTCTCTATAAAAAAAATATATTTAATAAATTGCATCAACTTTTTGTTTGTATTCCCATGTTTAAATGTATAAGTTAACTTATTTACCGTCTTGTTCAAATCTAACCACTTATTCAAATGGGCAGATTCTACTCTCATTTTCAGGTTCATAATTATTTTTCGTCTCTTTAAACCCCCATCAAAAAAGCCCAGGGTACAGATTGTGAGGAAAATGTGTCGCACCTTTGCGCAGGTTATTTTCAAACCTTGGGTGGATATACTCAGATGAAAGCGGTATATTCTAATAAGCCTGCATTATACATAGTGGAGCCAAATCTGCATGGCTGGTTAAATCCCATATTTGACTTTTTTTTCTTTTTTGACAGTTTGTGGGTTTTTAGGCTCTCCAAATACCCAACTGTGTAGGAATGATAAATGTCCCATTTAAAGTCCTATAAGTCAAAAATACTGCTCTCTTTCCAGCTTTGCGATCAGCTACTCCATCCTGGGATTCGTTGTGCTGCTGGTTGCCTACGGGCAGGTGGCCTTCTGGACGCTGGCCGCTGGACGGCAGGCCACACGCATCCGCAAGCTGTTTTTCCACCACATCATGCAGCAGGACATCGGCTGGTACGATGTCACTGAAACAGGAGAGCTCAACACGCGTCTCACAGAGTGGGTAACGGACAAGTCACACACACACATTTTCTCATACAACCGTATTCAAATAAAGCAGGGCTCAGCAACAAACTTTTTTTTTAAATTAACCGATACTTTTTTCAAATAAATGATTGATTATTTGGTTAATGCAAGTCAAAAATACCCACCACAATTTCCCAGAGCCTCTGTTTACATTTTGACCCCTTGATAGCAACAACATTTTAAAAGCTCTTTTTTTTCAAGGAGGAAAATTAAAAGATAATAAATAAATAGAAAGTACTTTTATCCAGATTTCGAGAACAGCTTTCTTGCACATTTTAAGTTTTTGCTGGATAATTTTCTGTAAATCGACTTATCAATCATTTATTTCAGTTCTTCTGTAAAGTGGTTATCATCTCTGACATAGAAAAACAGGGTTATTTCCAGCATATCTTTTAATATTGTACAATATAATCCTTCCTCTGAGTTAAAACATTCAAATCAGGATTATTCAAGATACACGGTTTTCACTTTACAACATTACATGCAGCATTCCTTTTTTATGTGCATGCGCAGTGATGTCTATAAGATCCAAGAAGGAATTGGCGACAAAGCTGGGAGGCTTCTCCAGGCCTTAACCACCTTCGTCACAGCGTTTGTCATCGGCTTCGTCAAAGGCTGGAAGCTCACCCTCGTCATCCTGGCTGTTAGCCCTGCGCTGGCCATTGCAGCTGGAATCTTCTCCAAGGTAAATCTCCTCTTCTTCTTCTTCTTCCCTTTTAAAGTTCACATGCTCTTAATCTATCTTTGTGCCATTCTATTGCTATCCATTTGTAATTCACAGGAATCAGCCCCCTGCAGGTATTCTTAATAACATTGTGTCTTTCTCCTTGTCTTATTAGGTGCTGGCGACTTTCACTACTAAAGAGCAGACTGCATATGCCAAAGCTGGAGCTGTGGCAGAAGAGGTGCTCTCTGCTGTCAGGACAGTGTTTGCCTTCAATGGTCAGGACAGAGAAATCAAGAGGTGTGTACAATATGATCAAAAGCAAAAATAAGATAATACCGAATAGCAGTGATTGTAAATAAATAACCCTGAGTACCATGGGTAGGGTATAATATGTAACATCAGAAGTTTCTAGGTGTTTTCAGTCACCTATCTGATCTGAATTTCACTGCAGGAACATCCACATCCTTAGTTAAATGCAAACTAGATTTTGACATTCATACTGATCTCATTGGGGGAAAAAATCAGACTTAACGTGGTTATTTTCTATTCAACAAAGCATTACTTCTGTGTGGGGAGAATAAATCTTGTCACGTAAACTGTTCTAAGTCAGAGAAATAGCCCCTACAAATGCTGTAACTGGATACAACCCATAAAACCCCCATACAATGTGATTAGTGTTTCTACTGATGTGACATTTAATGATGCCAAAGGGCCTGTTGTCATTGCAATCTAATTTATGCATCTAACTATGCTCTCCACTGACATGTCCTTGTGCTCCTGTTTTTGATTGTTTTGAACCACAGATACAATAAGAACTTGGAGGATGCAAAGAACATGGGAATAAAGAAGGCGACATCTGCTAACTTTTCCATGGGCCTCACCTTCCTGTTGATCTACCTGTCCTACGCTCTGGCCTTCTGGTACGGAAGTACGCTCGTCCTGAGTAATGAGTACACCATTGGAACCGTGCTCACCGTGAGTAGACACATTTAGAAAGAGATCCTATTAATCGTTTCTCTTAAAACAAAAGGGAGACTCTAAATAAGAGAGGTTGCTGAGCTAACACTGATGTGTGTCTCTTAAGGTGTTCTTCACCGTGCTGATTGGAGCGTTCGCTGTCGGACAGACCTCCCCCAACCTCCAGACTTTCGCCAGCGCCCGGGGAGCTGCATATAAAGTGTACAGCATTATTGATCATGTAAGGAATGCAACATTCTTACCCAAAGCACACCTTTCACATGATGTTTTTTTTAGACATTGTTGCTGCTGGACAGTTGTCAGTTTGTATTACTGAACATGCACCGCTGTACTCTGGCACTCTGGGGAACCACTTTGATGCAGCCGACAACCTGGAGACAGAAATGTTGGATTTTGCTCTAATTGGAGCACCTGCTGTCAGGTCATTTGGTTGATACTACACAGCTGTGGCTCTGTGAAGTTACTGTGCATGTACCCTGAGATACAATACAGTATCAGTTTTTACAAACATTGCACCCTTAATACACATGTGCAGCAGATTCCTTGTAATGGTATGTTTACCATATCTTGTGGTATCGTATCCCATCATTTCATATACAATTATTTTAACTTAGTGCATTGGATCTCAGCGCAACAAATTATATTGTATTTTATTTTATCTTATCTAATTATATCGTATTTTATTTTATCTAATTATATCGTATCTTAACTCATTATATCGTAACATATCTTAGCTTATCGTATTGTATCGAATCTTATCTCACTATATCGTATCATATCTTAGATTATTGTATTTTATGTCATTATATCGTGTCATATCTGAGCTGTTATGTTATTGTTATTTAATCTTATCTTATCTTATCTTATCTAATATGTCTTTGACTACCATCTGTGGAATTTAAAATGGTCTAAGAAACACAATTGAACCACTTCCGCAGTCTGGTCTCTAGTCATCCTGGGCCGTGTATGTTTATAGTTTACTGTGCGTCTGTTTTTCTTTCACAGTAACTACCCACTCAGATTAGTTTATAAGCACGGACAACATCTGTTTAAGCATGAGCGATAATCACACAGCCTAAAGCAAAACTCAAAAAGTATAAAATCTCCTCTCAGGGCCTTTTCGTTTTTTAAAAGGTCCAAACTCAAAATTTAAGAAGAGTATCCGTTCCAAGTCAAGGACTCTTGCTTTGTGACATCTGATCTAAAATAAGCAGTATGGATACCCTTTTCTGTCTAATCTTAAACACAGAAAGATGAGGCCTCCAAGAGGGACATAAAACAGTCTCACATTCTCAGTCCAAACAGAGCTAAACCATTGAGGTGGAACTGCAGTGTGTGTTTGTGTGTGTGTGTGTGTGAGTGAACGTGTGTGTTTAACCTACCTAGAGAAGCAGAAAAAACGCAAAGCGCTCACCCTACTGTGGGACAGCCTTCCTGCCTTTGTCTTATTGATGTTTTAAGAAGGATCGGGTTATTTATCCAACTGTGGCCTAACTACAAACAGGAACAGAGAGCTGAGTTTTTTAGGAGTGAAATTAAAGTTAACTTTTGTCTCAACAGAAACCGGCCATCGACAGTTATTCAGAGGCCGGCTTCAAGCCTGACTCCATCAAAGGAAACATTGAGTTCAAGAACATCCGCTTCAGCTACCCCTCAAGACCAGACATCCAAGTACGTTCACCATAGACACTGTTTACTGAACTCTTAAACACATTATTCAAACTTTATCTCGTAAATTACGTTGTTTACTTTTGTAGGTTTTAAACGACTTGTCTCTGAGTGTGAAGAGTGGACAGACCATTGCCTTGGTAGGGAGCAGCGGCTGTGGGAAGAGCACAACGATCCAGCTGCTGCAGAGGTTCTACGATCCTCAGGAAGGATCTGTGAGTGACGTTTCCAAAACGCTTCATTTAAATTGGATTCATTTAGTATTTGTTAGCATATCCGCCCTGCTATATTCCAGGACTTAAAATACTACTCAATGTTTTTAGCATGAACTCCCATAACATTTTGTGATTTCATTAGATCAGGTGTGACATGAACAAAATAATCTGGGTAGTGTTTTCAGTGTTTCTGCCCATATACTTTGAATCATGTGTCACTGCAGGTACGTACTGTAGTAGTTGTTTCCTGCTTCCCAGTCAGCTATTCTAATAAATCCACTTTGAGAGTCTAAAAAAGTTTTGGTCTAAAAAGTGTTGATTGATGAGATTGGCCACGGTATCAAATATTCAAAGCTCTTAGCGCTAAATGAAATAAGTCCCCAAAAGTGTTGACTATTTTTTAAACAATGACGAGATGCTGTTTCAGATAAATATGACTGTTATATGTGTGTTTGAATCTTGTCTTTCAGGTGACTATTGACGGGCACGACATCCGTTCTCTTAACATCCGCTACCTGAGAGAGATGATCGGCGTGGTGAGCCAGGAGCCTGTTCTCTTCGCCACCACCATCGCGGAGAACATCAGATACGGCCGACTTGACGTGACCAAACAGGAGATCGAGCAAGCTGCCAAGGAGGCCAATGCATACGACTTCATTATGAGCCTTCCTGACGTATGACTGTGTTAATGACTCCCTGTTCTGTGTGTTTATCAAGATCTCCTTCAACCACTTGCTAATATTGAAACTCTTATTGTTGAGCAGACGTTTGAGACGATGGTCGGAGACCGAGGAACTCAAATGAGTGGCGGACAGAAGCAGAGGATCGCAATTGCTCGAGCTCTAGTCCGCAACCCCAAAATCCTTCTGTTGGACGAAGCCACATCTGCGCTTGATGCTGAGAGTGAGACCATTGTGCAATCTGCACTCGACAAGGTACAAATACACAAATCCTGTTCTACCTCATCCAGAACACAGCTTTGCACTTTGATACTGACATGAAGAAAGCTAGTTAAAATCCTAAATTAATGTGGTTTACTACTTCCTTTAGAAACATATTTGGTGTGGCTTTTTTGGTATGGTCATCGGTTCGCAATGCACCTGCATAGAGCCACAGTCCATAGACATTGCTACTAATATTAAGGTCTAGCGACTACAAACATGTTACAATGTTTATAAAATTGTACGTAATTTTTTTAATCCTTTTTGTTAATCTAAGCAAAGACATAACAACTGGGACACATGTCTTTGTGTGCAGGTCCGGCTCGGTCGTACCACCATCATTGTTGCCCACCGCCTGTCAACCATCAGAAACGCTAACATCATCGCTGGCTTCCAGAAAGGTGAAGTTGTAGAGATGGGGAGTCACAGCAAACTGATGGAAGAAAAGGGAGTCTACCACACACTAGTCACCATGCAGGTAAAACACACAAACTATTTATTTGGGTTTGAGTTCAAGGGAAACTTTCAGAATGGTCAGCCATATTGTTTTCCTCGCTCTCTTTCTGTTGCAGACTTTCCAGAAAGAGGAGGAGACGGATGAGGCTGAGTGTGAGCCGTCTGCTGATGAAAAGAGACCGTTAGTCCATACCAACTCTCGCTCCTCTCTGAAAAATAGGAAGACCACAAGAGGCTCCTCCTTCGCTGTCTCAGAGGCAGACAAAGAGGAGAAAGAAAAGTTAGATGAGGAGAAATTGGAGGAGGTGAGCTGTGCTGCCACATCTCTGGGCTTTGGGTGGATGGGTCAACATGGTCTGTGCAGGTTATTCAATACTTTAGCTGACATTTGGACAAAGGTCAGATCAAGGCTCTCCTCTTTTCCATTACAACTGTCAAGCTATCAAACTCTAGCCATTGCTTTGTGTGGTTTGAATGGCTATGATTGTTTTTAAAAGAGGAAGGTGGGACGAGCACATGACCATTACCACAGTCCTGGAAAAAAGAGGGGAAATGCGTGTGAACGAGATGTGACTCAGCTCTTTCTGCCTTCACCCTGCTTATGAACTATGTACACAATAACCCTAAGATAAAGATATACAATGTACTTTCTCCTCTAATGCCTAAACAGTCTTTCCCTCCATCTTTCCCCACATCCTAGCAGTTGCGTAATACATTTAGTTATTTACCACAGTCCAGGGAAATGCGTGTGAATGAGATGTCACTAAGCTCTTTCTCCCTCTTCCTGCAGGACGAAAAGATTCCCCCTGTGTCGTTCTTCAAAATAATGCGTCTCAACATTCCTGAGTGGCCTTACATTTTGGTGGGGACGATCTGTGCCATCATCAACGGCGTCATGCAGCCACTGTTCGCTATCATCTTCTCCAACATCATCACTGTATGTTACTCTTAATATCTGAGCACCACAAAAGTTATTTATTTATGTTCAATTGCAGTGTTTGTCAGATGTTGAACAAGCCCACAGACAAACAGTTTTTTCCTCTTCTCAGGTGTTTGCACATCCAGATCCAGCCGTCGTCAGGAAAAGAGCTTCGTACTTTTCTCTGATGTTTGTTCTTATTGGAGCGGTGTCCTTTGTCGCCATGTTTTTCCAGGTATGCATGTTGATTTAAGGTGCGTTCATTGCCCTCAAATAAATAGTTTGACACTTGAAGCACTTCTATGATTTCCTGCTGAGGGTCAGAAGAGAAGATTCCTCTCTCATGTCTGTACAATAAACATAATGGTATACCGTACACACAGCAGCTGTTTAGTTTAGCAGCATAACGTCTGTCAACAGGTCTGTCTTGTAGCTGTGGCTGTATATTATCTGTACAAACATGAGATTGGTGTCTACCTACTCATCTAACTCTTGGAATGAAGCTCCCAATAAGTTCCCAAAATGTCAAATTGGTTCTTGTACTATACAGTATATGCCTAAATCCAAAGAGTGTCCATTGTACTTGGTTGGAAATGTAGAAACCTTGATAGCTACCACACAGGATTACAGTAAGATTTTACGTGAGTGCCCTTGCAAATGAAACAAACACACACACACACACTAGGGCTGTGCGATTATGGCAAAAATCATAATCACCATTATTTTGGTCAATAATTGATATCACGATTATTAAATGTCAAGGCACACNGAATATCCTTGGTAAATAATATTGTTGTTTTATGGTAGAGGGGGATACATATTGTATTTATAAGGTCTAATGCTTATTTTTTTAAAAGCTTGGTTTTAAATATGTATCCCCCTCTACCATAAAACAACAATATTATTTACCAAGGATATTCAAAATTCTAAATAATTACTCTGATTTGAGCACAAGTAGGCCAAATTGCTGTGTCTCAAATCATGTTTGCTCAACTTCTGCAACAGATATAAAAAAAGAAATCAAAGAAATACAAACAAATTATACATTTTTGTCACTGTTGTATAATCCTTTTGCTAATATTCCTCACCAAATTTAATTTTTTGTTATTCATTCATTTTTATTGTTTAAAGTTTTTTAAAAAGTGTTTCAATGTCCCCCCTGTTACTCTGATTTGAATCCCTCTGGACACGCCCCTTTACTATTCGTATGACTCAAGAAGAAGGATACATTTTGAGTCATCTTCAAGAAGCAGAGTGAATGCATTCTTCCTTCAACGTTTTAAAAAAAAATGTTTTAAAGAACTTAGCGGTAAAGCATAACATGTCCACGCTGTTATGCTCAGTTTGAATGGAAACTGATCATTTGTTTTACATTTAGAAAATAGGGTGAATATATCTATCAAATATATGTTTCGTTTGTCACCAAGTGCTAGCTTAATTATCATTATGCCTGTAGCAATAGCTAAGTTTAGCATAAAGTGTCCACCCTGTTACTATTTTTCACATTAACAGGGTGGACTCACAGTAACTGGGATGTTAAAAAATAAACGTTTTAAACATAATATCCTGATCTTGACCAAAATATTTTTCTTATACTTTAACAACCCATCATTCAGATTAAATAAAAAAAAACATGGACGAGCATGTTTTTTATTTTTTATTAACCTAGCTGAAATGGCACCGAATGCTAGGAATGCCTCATGTTTAAAATCAAAATACAGCACTGAAACATGGTAACACATGGTTAACTCATATTCACTATTGCTCATTTCATAATGTGATATACTATGGCCTAATGTTTTATGATGCTGTGAAATATTTAGTTGGATTTTGTAAACAGAGTTATACCAGATGTTAAGCCTTTATTTTATTTGGACCTTTGCTTAACTGAGTAATTATTGAAAGTGAAGTTTAAGGAGGAAAATGCTAGATTCAGATTTGTTTTATTCATTTTGTTAGATTTATCAGCTTTTTATCTCTTTGAAATTAAAACAGACATGCCATTCACACATTATATCAGTGTATAGTTGTGTATAATAAGACTTCTCACACTGGTGACACACAATTTTTTCCAGGACCCTGTACTGTCAGTGAAACCTCCTTTGTTTACAGACTCTTACTACCGGCTGGACAAATCTGGCTTCAAAATAAAAGTCAGCACTAAATTAGGCGCACATCAGAAAATGTATATGTCATTGAAATATTAAACATAACAAAAGAGAGTTTTTTTCATAAATTGAACAGTTTCAGTTTTTTTGTATGGTAATTATTGTAAGTGTAAGTGACGTTAAGTAGTCGATTCACGGTCATTGGGAGTATGCATGACAGTACCATATTTACATATGAACCCGAAATTGGTTGGGCGACCTTATGTGTCATTTTTATGAGTATCCTTCACAACACATGCACATGCCTTCAGGTAAATTAAGTAGTCGATTCACGTTTTGTAGGAAAATGCAGCTCCACTATTCACACTCAAAAACATTTGCATGGTTTGGGCCTACCTTGATTTAAAAACGGGGCCCATTGCCGTATCTTTCTGGACGAATATGTCACCGATGTGTTGAAGAAGTCCAATGAGGTTTCACAAATCTCTCCGACTAAATAGTAATCATTACGTTATGTTTTTGTTAGAACTAGCTAACGTGGAGGGGGAGCTTTTATTCTGAATGTTCAATCCGGAAGCTCTATCATTTTGCCTTGACGCAGGTTTGTGTGCAGCCCCTCCTTCAGCTGAGCAGCGTGAGTTGCTCGGAGGTGACGGAGACAGCCAGCTGATCCTCCCCTGGTGCAGAGGCAGAGGAGCGGGGACCACGCACCGTCTCCGCCCGCAGACACCGTCACGGGCTGGGGATGGCGTCGCTCGGCGTGGGACTACATCTCGTCCGCAAGCGGGGATCAGGCAGGAGCTCCGCGGTGGAGAGGAGGAATCTGCTCACGGTGTGCAGGTAGGGATGAAACTGCGTCTGACGGCAGATTTGTTAATCAAATGAGGTCAGAGGCGTTTTGTTTGAGGTTAGCTTGGGGAGCACATCAATGTTTAAAATATGACTTCAAAGTCATTCTGTCTGCTGGATAAGATGCATAACAATATTATTGAAACAATTATGAAATATCAGCTGGCTGACCTCAGGTAAATTCCGTAATCCTGTTTCTTTTGCACATCATGTGCATCTCTTTCATTCATTC